GCCATTCTCTGAGAGAGATGATGCTCGGCACTCGTTTGGACATGTCCACAGCGGACCATCCGCAGACCGATGGTCAGACCGAACGCGTGAATCGCGTTGTGGAGGACACCCTCCGAAGCGTATGCGCTGAGGCGCCAAAACGCTGGAGCCAGATGCTCCCACTCGTTGAGTTCGCATTAAATAATGCAGTGCACGCCTCGACAGGCTACACTCCGTTCTATGTGAGCGGCTTGATTAACCCTCGCGTCCCACTGACGCCGCCACGCAGTGGCTCAGGGCTTGATGGGGGAGGGATAGCCGAGCGGCTAGCTGATGTCAGCCCTGTTGCGGCTCGCAAGCAAGTCGATGACTTTGTCTCTTTAAAACTGAGCGTAATGCGTCAAGTACGCGACGCTATGGCTGAAAGCCAAGACACGCAGAAGGAACATGCAGATGCTAAGGGCAGAAGCAATGTTGTGAGGTTTGAGGTCGGTGACCAAGTTTTATTAAACGCAAAAAACCTACCTACACATGCAGTGTCTGCAGTCTTCAAGACGAAGTTAAGACCTCGGTTTATAGGACCGTTCAAGGTCGTGGCCAGGAATAGCCTAGCGTATACGCTCAACCTTCCGAAGAAGATGCGCACGCATCCGGTCTTCTATGTTGGCTTGCTTAAGCCATACCAAGACACGCTCAGGTGAGCGCGGAGGCGTTGGCACCAACGGTGGCTGGGCCACAGACAGCTGCAGGGCAGCAGGTGGTAGAGCCACGGGAGGCTGAACGACAGCAAGTGGTGGATCCACAGATGGTTGATCAACAGCATGTGGCAGAGCCACAGGTCGCGGATGAAGTGCTCGAGATGCAGGAGCAAGGCAAGCAGAACATTCAGCCGAGCGACTGGACGCTCAAGGTCCGAGATTTGGTTGTGAGTCAACAGTGGTGGCTCTAACCTATCCACAAGGTGGATCATCTCTTCGAGATCGACCGATGGGCGGTGAACGTGAACGTTCGCGTCGTGGACGCCGTCGTCGTATGGACGCAGACGTCGTTCCGGCAAGTGCTGACTCTCCCCGCGAGAGCCCGGCGGAGGCAAGGCCTCCTCCTGCTCTGCTCGATGAGCATGGTGAGCTCCACTTTCACGTGGAACGCCTTGTGGCGTGGCGGGGACGCCAGGGTCGTACCCAGTACTTGGTGAAGTGGAGGGGTTACCCTCACTCACAGAACTCATGGGAGTTTGAGGTTATCCTCCGGTAAGATTGCCCTCACGTCGTTGACGCTTACGACCAGGCACATCATGTGCCGAAGCGCCACCATGGCGTGCGACAGCGTCGCCAGGCGCTGGGCGCCTCCCACTAGAGTGGGGAGCGATCAGGTCAGTAGCTGAGCTCAGGCTCTGACCAGTGGCTGCAGCAGCCAGCTCGTACGTATGAGCGGTGCTCGCAGCGGGAGCAGGAGGTGGAGAGACCTCGTAGTGTTAGGGACATGGTCCCGAAGGAAGCAGGCGCTTCGTGTTGTGCTGAACAAGGTTCAGGCACAAGCGTCTCGATAGACGCATAGTTGTTTTGAAACAACTTGCTCGATGAGCTGATCCAAATGTGGATGCGCTGTAACAGCGAAAGTGGTGTCCCGGACGGGGATCGAACCACTAGCCTTTGGCTTGACAGGCCGGAGCTCTACCATTGAGCTATAAGGGCGATGCCCGTACGCCAGTCCGAGAACGGACTACTCATGGTATGAGAGGGCTGCGCCCGGGTGGATTTGAACCACCGACCTGTGGCTTCCAAAGCCAGCACTCGACCACTGAGCTGAAAGGGCGTTGCCCTTAAGCTTGTCCATTCAAGGACAACAGTTCATGGAACGAGAGGGCTGTGCCCTGGAGGGTTCGAACCCCCGACCTGTAGCTTCCAAAGCCAACGCTCAACCATTGAGCTAAAAGGGTGTTGCCCTTAAGCTTGTCCAAGCGTGAACAATCGTTCATGGAACGAGAGGGCTGTGCCCTGGAGGGTTCGAACCCCCGACCTGTAGCTTCCAAAGCCAACGCTCAACCATTAAGCTAAAAGGGTGTTGCCCTTAAGCTTGTCCAAGCGTGAACAATCGTTCATGGAACGAGAGGGCTGTGCCCTGGTGGGTTCGAACCACCGACCTATCGCTTGTGAAGCGAGTATTCAACCGCTGAGCTGTTGTCGACGACTCGAATGAGTCAAGAGCATTGCTCTAAGCGGTTTACAGCTCATGGAGTAGGCGCGGAGCGCGAGCGTACGTCTGAGACTGCTTGAGAGCAAGATGCGCGCTGCGCTTGAACATTGGACCGTGGGCCGACGACGAGAAGTTGGGCATCAACGATGCGTAGGCGTTTGTGAGCTCACGGAGCTGTAAAACGCTGGTGTGAGGTGTAGTAACCTCCGCCGTCTTAACAAGACGTGACCTCGCTGAGGAGAGTTTCGAGAACGGAATGTTCTCATCTTAGTGGTAACGGGGTTACATGGTGTGGAACACACAGGGGTACGAAGTACCCGGATAATTAACAAACTCTCAGTACATAAGTTGGAGAGTTAACAAGGTCTCTCAGTACGTTGGCCGAAAGCCACACGTTATGCATTTGATTAGGTTTAACTATGCTAGATAGTTAAACAGATACATTTACCCCTAGGCGGCTTGGCCGCAATAATAGTAAATAAAACACTTCTGGTTTTGAAGCATAAAAGTTAAGGTATTAACTTTGAGCCCTGGTCTTGGGCTGTAAGTGTCCTTTGGATAAGGAACTTAGTATTAGTGACTCTTTGCGTCGAACGTCTTCCTCTGACGCTAAAGCTACGGCAGCCCCGCTGCAGATTTCCCTTGAACACGAAGCCTAGATCCGACGCGCGGCCAAGCGCATACCACATTAGCGCGAGTAGTGCTGCGTCCTGATAGTTTTTGGAACTGGTCGCATCATAGTAAAGCCCACCCATGAGAATTCGTAGGTCCTCCTTCGTGCAAGCCGGTACTTTATTGATCATCTCCCCATCAACACGCTTGAGGCATTGCCGTTCAAGGGTTTGACCCATCTTGAGTAGCTTCTTCTCGATTGTAGCTCTGTGCTTCGGGTACGTGTCAAGAAGCCAGTTCTTCACATGGCGGTAGTAGCTCATGACTGAGCTCCTTGTAAGCGGTTTGCCTCCGCGGCCCTTCAAAAAATGCTAGGTGGACGCCGAAACGGTCTTGCAGCTTTAGGAAGACGGCACCACTTGCATCCGCGACCAGAGATACCGCAACGAAGCTCATGGAGACGCCATCGGCCGCAATGAAGCGACTGAAGGTGTTGATTGCCGTTTGGCGAGCGCGCTGAGAGTTTAAGGGAGCGAGGTCTTCCAGACTCATAATGAATTGGAGTAATTTGTCGGCGAAAAAGCAAATACACGAATGATGTGCGCCCAACTTGTGGATGTATTGATTTTTAACATATCCCCCTCCCCCCTTGCCTTCATTAAACATCAGCATGGCGTCGGCATCATTTTACCCTATCCCTAGCAGGTCTTATTGGTTGATATATTTTAATTACTGATTTCATTGGTCAAAACCCGTCGTGGCAGTAATATTGCCATTACTTTAATCAAGCTAAAAACTGTGTCGGCACGGTGATGATATTCGTCCTTAAATTGGTCACTTCACTCAAAAGGGGACCTGTGAACTGCCGTTCACTGAGAGTTTGTAAACTCTCGGAAGCCAACGCAAGGTGCTGTGTGACCGTCACATAGTGTGTACACAGTGTACCTCACTCAAGATGTAGCAGTCTTTCCATCTAATTACAATAGTACTCTGCTGCTTATTTATTCTGGATCGCAGATACGGACGACTGCTTTTCGCCCAGGTGGCTTCACTTAAGCGCTTCGGAAGGCACGCGAAAGGCCTTCGAATCGCTGTCGTGGTTCCAAGTTTAAGTGGTTAAGAGCCACCCTCAGGGTGGCTCTTAACCACTGCCACGCGTGCCACGCATGCCATGGCACTAGAAATTGAGCCATGGCATGGCATGGTTACGAATAGAATTGCCCTGCCATTGTGCCATCATGAAAACTATTTTTAGATCATACATTATTGAAGATAAAAGTAGCATGGCACTTGCAAATGCCATCCGTGGCACTTCCTGTCATTTTATTTACTTTAAACTCTAGCCCTAGCAAGCGCTCATCCAATCGGATCAAAGCATTTCGTGCCATGGCGTGGAGCGACCCTGATGAGACTCCCACATGATGTTTTGGACCAAAACAGTTTTAAACTGTTTTGGTCCAAAACATCATGGCTGAGCTCACCCAATGGCTGTTTTCGTAAAGTAAATGGTTCGTGTCGCTTGTGGACACTTGGAATCCAATGTTGAGAAGATAGGTGCCTGCCTTTCCAGTCAGCAACACACAAGTGTTGTTTTCATTCCGGCAATTCTGCCTTTCACCAGCGGAGTAGAAGCAACCACCCGTTTCGTTAGTAGTAAAATGTCAGACAAGAATCAACAGGTTTTTGTAAGTTTTAGGAAAGCTGCTATACGATGCATTTGACGAATAGGCTAGCCACTTTTAACTCCTTTGAACCCAAATGCTACTGTGGTGGTAATACTGAGTGCAAAGTGACCACTGTTTTAATGGCGTGCAACAAGATATTGCTGCTCAGATTCTGTACTGGTGTGTCCCATGGATGGTGGAGTCGCACGCATGCCCAAAGGATAGCAGAAAACTTTCTGGAAAGTGCCGGCAATGCATGATTTCCTGTGTGTCAACAACCTCGGAAATCCATATGCCACGATATTTTATGCTGCTTCTGTGTATCCACACGAAAAATGCAGAATCTTCAGCGCTCTAGTCTTACTGAAATGAAGTCAAATTTCGGCGCGTTTATACATGTAAGGACAAACATACAGTAAGACCAGAAGATTCACATGAGCCAAGGAATGATTGTCACCGACGTCACAGCTCTCGCTACTCATTGCTTCATTCCTGGATCTGCTTCGTCGCGCTAAAGTAAAGTTTTCATCGAGCGAACAAGCTCGCGCTATGGTCCATTATCCTACACTTAATCCCAGCGCCAGAGCTTCATATGGAGCCGTGGGGACTGACACTCCGCCGAAGAACTTTACTCTAAGCCCTCGCCGCCGTCTCACGCAATGGTACATCAACATGGCTCTCATCAACTTCGTCGAGTTCGCGGCCGAATCCTCGCGCGGCGTCGTGCTGGCCACACTCTTCCTCTACAACAAGTCGCTGGGCGGCGATTTGGCCTTCATGGGCTTGCTCACTTCCCTCTTCTCAGTGGGGCGTCTTATCTCGTCCACAGTGTTCGGCTGGATGTGCGACCGGTACTCGTTCCGCTCCGTGTACCTCGTGTCGTCGGGCATCTGCCTACTAGGCAACCTCATCTACCTCATGGCCGACATCCACGTTACCGACAGCTTGACTGCGCTGGCAGTCAGTCGGTTCATCGTGGGCTTTGGCGCTGGCAACCGCAGTGTGTGTCGTGCCAATGTCGCAGCCATGACCACCATCACCCAGCGGCTGCGCTATCTCACGATCCTTGCGACAGTCGTTTTCCTCGGCTATGCTTTGACGCCAGGACTCGGCAGTCTCGTGGCTGATGTGGACGTGTTCTTCTGCGGCGTGCACTTCAACAAGTTCACCTCACCCGGCGTCATCCTCGTGGTGTTTAATCTACTGACGATCTTCAGCATGTTGACTACCTATGATGGGTCTATCGGCATCCACGACGGTCCGTTGGAGTCCCCGAACACCGCTGCAACGAAAAACACACTGTCCGACTTGACGTCCATGCCCGAGCGTATCGTGAACATTGGCGCCATGGTGTTTATCTTCCTCAACTTCACTGCGCGCGGCATCTTGTCGGTATTCGAGACGGTGAACATCCCGCTGTTCCTTCAAGTAACCGGTAGCGACCCCGACAGTGTCGCCGCAGTGGTGGACGCTTCCAACTTCCAGTTCTACTTGGGTCTACTGGGACTCGTGTCCTACTTTTCCATCGAATATTTCCGCAAGAGCATGACGGATGTCAGCTGGGTGCAGCTCGGATTTATGTTCTTGCTGTTGGGTAATGTTCTCCTGGTGGTGATGCCCGCGTCTCTGACGTTTGACCGCTTGGCGTTTGCGGAGCTTTTGGTGTGGAGCATTGGCTGTCCGATCACCACTGCGGTTGTGGTGGCTGCCTTCTCCAAGTTGCTTGGCGGAAGACCGCAGGGTACACTCATGGGCTTGCTGGGATCTGCAGGCTCCGTTTCGCGCATTATTTTGCCGCTGTTGCCTGCTGCCATCCCGACGCTGACCCCAGTGTTCATGATCAACATCGCACTGTGCGGTCTAAGTGTGGCGCTGCTGTGGTGGTACAGCAAGTTGGTGTACCGGACCAAGGTCGATCTGCTTGCAGATGTCGAGAGCGCATATCGGGCGGTGTCACCACCGAATGACCTGCGATCTCCGCTGGGCTCTGACAAGGTGGATTTTGAAGATAACTTGTTGATGAACTAACTATAAACACTCAAATAGTGTTGAAGAAACTTTTTTAAAATCGTTGCAGTTGTCTGGCAACTTTTTGTCTGAAACGAGCATTGTTGCATCGCATTTGCAGATTCAGAATCCGTTTCGAAGAGTCGTTTTCTTATTTGCGACAGACACTTTGCAATTTACTGCGTAGTTGCTTGCCGCAAGACTCCCCATTGCCATGATGAACTACTCGACTGTGCCACTGCAAGACGATCGACGCAATGCGTCGTATGGTTCGATTGAAGACAAACCGATACAAAAATCCAACCGTGTCATGAAATGGTACGCCAACATGGCCATGATCAACTTTGTGGAGTTCGCTGCAGAGGCGTCTCGCGGTGTGGTGCTGGCCACACTCTTCCTGTACGCCAAGTCACTCGGTGGAGGCTTAAGTCAAATGGGACTACTCACGTCGCTCTTTTCAGTTGGACGCCTCATATCGTCGATGCTGTTCGGTTGGATGTGTGACCACTACTCCTTCCGGTTCGTGTACCTCGTCTCCTCTAGCTTTTGCTTGTTGGGCAATATTGTGTATTTGTTGGCGGAGAGCAGTGTGACTGGAAGTCTAATTGTGCTCTCTGCAAGTCGCTTTATTGTTGGCTTTGGAGCTGGCAACCGCAGTGTTTGCCGCGCCGATGTGGCCGCCATGACAACGATCAGCCAGCGCTTGCCGTACATTACCGTTCTATCCACAGTCGAGTTCCTGGCCTACGCTCTTACTCCAGGACTTGGAAGTCTAGTGGCCAGCACTGACACGTATGTGCTGGGCATTCACATGAACCAGTTTACCGCTCCAGGTGCAATTCTTGTCGTGCTCAACATCTTGTCCATAATTGGCATGCTCTTCGCGTACGATGTGTCCGTGAAACCCGCTGATGGCCCCGAAGAGTCTGTCCCAAGAACCCAGACTAGCCGTGCCCGAAGCGACAACGTTAGTCTGCCCGATCGCATCATTTACATTGGTGCTTCTGTATACATCTTCCTGAATTTCAACGCGAGAGGAATGCTCTCAGTCTTCGAAACGTTGAACATCCCGTTGTTTTTACAGGCAACCGGCAAGGATCCGAGCACTGTAGACGCTGTCGTGGAGGCTTCTAACTTTCAGTTCTACTTGGGCTTGCTTGGACTGGTGACGTACTTCTCCATCGAGTACTTTCGCAATACCATCTCCGACGTGAGCTGGGTGCAGCTGGGCTTTGTTTCGCTACTAGCTGGTAACGCAGTGCTGGCGGTGGCGCCTCCTGCAAGTCTCTCAATTGGGCAACTTGGAGTAGCGGAAATGTTGGTGTGGAGTGTGGGATGCCCCATCACGACTGCAGTCGGTGTTGCGGCCTTCTCGAAGCTGCTAGGAGGGCGTCCGCAGGGCACACTGATGGGGTTATTCGGCTCGGCTGCTTCGGTCTCGCGCATTATACTGCCCCTTGTTCCTGCGGCCATATCGGCGCTGACACCCGTTTTTTGGATTAACATTTCGCTGTGCGTCTTGAGCATTGTGATATTGTGGTGGTTCAATCGCCTCGAGAACGAGACTAGGAGGAATTTGCTCGACGACACCGAGAAAGCGTACCCTCCCAGTGTTGTTGCTGCAAAGGACCGCGTCTGAAGGCGAGTTCTACTACGTAGACTTTGTTACACTTGAAATACATAACTGCTTGAACCCTACACTACGCGCATAAATACCACCAACTTGGCGGTGACCAAGGATAATTTAAAGTGCACTTTTACGGTGCGAAGTGATTCGCAGCAACTGCGTGAATGTAGCTTTCAAAACTTCAACACTTCAACATATGGCGAAGGGCCGGAACAAGTGCGGGATGGGCGAGGCCGGAACAACGCGAAGATACTTTTTTAGGTTTCCTGGTTCGTGTTTAAAACTCAGCCGGCATGCTGTAACTCACCACCAGCTGGGGCCGTTGCACTGGACGTCACTCGTTTCATCATGAAATTCATGAGGGACCGAAGGAAACGGCATCTAGGGTATGCATTGCCTGTGCAAGCGCCTTAGTACGCCCACCGTTGTTGAAGGAGACCTCCGCGCGGCTGAGCTAGGTGAGAGGCACAGCAGCATCACGCTGCCATCGATTCTATATTTTGTCGACGGTACCAGTATGAAAATTAAAACATCGTAAATGGCTTAACTCTAATCACGGTTGAGCAAAGATAATGCAGACAGACACTCGGTGGCACTCAAAGCAGATGGACTGCAATCGGGCTGGGCCAAGATTCGTTCTTGACGTTGGCAAAGTTTTTTGCGACTACAAGTGTACCAGCAACACCTTGCTTTCGAATCGTATGCCTCGTTCTCCATTTTGTACTCCATGCATCCAACGAGACATTTGTCTTCAGGTACCAGCAGGTATCAGGCTGATAATCAGCCGACACTTTGCCCGTGTTCGACCGCGTCCTTTTTGTGTGTGCCCTCTGACGTTGCCGTAGCAGCTTGGTCCAAGCCTTGGACCAGGTCTCACTAAAATGCTAGGCAAAGTATGCCTGCGAATCTGTCGCCCCGCCCGCCGATCTCGGCCGATCCAATGTGGGCGCTCATTCCACATTCTTCCAAGTCCCACCAAAGCGGCGCCCTCGCTTCGCATCGATGACTGCGCTATCCGTCAACGCTGGAGCCACATACGGTACTGCCGAGCTGCCTAAGCCCAAGAACTTCGACGCGAGTCCGCGACGCCGCTTGTCACAATGGTACATCAACATGTTCATGATTAACTTCGTCGAGTTCGCAGCCGAATCCTCGCGCGGCGTCGTGTTGGCGACGCTCTTCCTCTACACCAAGTCACTGGGAGGCGATCTGGCCTTCATGGGCATGCTCACGTCGCTCTTCTCGGTGGGTCGCCTTATCTCGTCCACAGTGTTCGGCTGGATGTGTGACCACTACTCGTTCCGGTCAGTGTACCTCGTATCGTCAGGTATCTGCTTGATGGGGAACGTCATCTACCTCATCGCAGACCAGCACGTGTCTGGCAGCTTGACAGCGTTGGCTGCGAGTCGGTTTATCGTGGGCTTCGGAGCTGGCAATCGCAGTGTGTGTCGTGCTGATGTGGCGTCGATCACGACCATCAACCAGCGTCTGCCGTACTTGACATTACTGGCCACGGTTGTGTTCCTCGGCTATGCTTTGACGCCAGGTCTTGGCAGTTTAGTGGCCAACACGGACTCGTATCTGCTTGGCGTCCACTTCAACAAGTTCACGTCGCCCGGTATGATCCTGATCATATTCAACCTGCTGACCATCGTCGGAATGTTCACAGTGTACGACGAGTCTGTCGGTGTTCACGATGGACCGCTCGAGTCTCCACGAACGGCAGCGACGAGCAACACGCTGAGCGACCCGACGGCGATGCCTGAACGCATTGTGAACATCGGTGCGGCCGTCTTCATCTTCCTGAACTTCAACGCGCGTGGCATCTTGTCCGTGTTTGAGACGGTGAACATCCCGCTGTTCATTGACGCAACGGGGAGGGACCCTGACAGCGTGAGCGCCGTGGTGGCTGCATCCAACTTCCAGTTCTACCTTGGACTACTGGGACTACTGTCGTATTTTTCAATTGAGTACTTCCGCCACAGCCTCAGAGATGTGAGCTGGGTGCAGCTCGGCTTTGTCACCTTGCTAGCAGGCAACGTGCTGCTCGTTGTGGCGCCGACACAGCTCTCTTTTCCGCAGCTTGCGGTTGCCGAGTTCCTAGTATGGAGCGTGGGCTGCCCGATCACGACCGCCGTGGTGTTGGCGGCGTTCTCAAAGCTGCTAGGCGGTCGACCTCAGGGCACCCTCATGGGCCTACTAGGTTCCGCTGCCTCGATCTCTCGTATTGTGCTTCCGCTGCTCCCGGCCGCCATTCCAACACTGACCCCGGTGTTCTGGATTAACATTGTGCTCTGCGCGAGCAGCATGGCGTTGCTGTGGTGGTACAGCAACGTGGTGCACAAGACGAAGATGGCTATGCTTGCTGACGTCGAGAGCGCGTTCCGGATCGCTTCACCTCCGAATGACCCTCGCTCGCCGCTGGGCTCAGACAAGGCCGATTTCCCGGAGAAATAACTACTTCAAATCTCTCAACATGCAGAGGTCTCCTCGTTAGGAACAGCTCTCACCTTCTTGCCACCAGTGTATGGCAGCTCGTTTATTAATGTAGTCTTTTGCGTCACCACGCACACCGAGTGCACCATACCGGTGCATACCTCTGCCTTCTGTGCTAGGGTGTTTGAGCCATGTTCATTAGTTTTGGCCCGTTGTCAACCGACGTGTTTTTCTTCAAGTCAATCTCTCACTCGAAGCTTCTTAATGTCAATGTTACATTAGCAGGAAAATCCTAGGTCGGCGGAGAAAGCCACTCTGTACTAAGCTAACGCAGCGCTACGTGTAGTTAAATTTAGATGGTAAAAAAACACCCAAAGCATCCAATACCAAGACCCTTGGTAGTGCAACAAGGCTGATTGCTGAAGTAGCATCTCCAGTTTTCTATCCAAGGATCGTCGTTGCCTAGCTAAGCTCGCGGGTTGGGTCGGTTGGGGACCAGGTGTCGTCTCACAACCGGCATTCCCCAATATTAATACTGGTGAACCACAAGAACTCCCAAATTGAGGAACAAATTTGCCGAAGCATCTACTGGTAATAGCGCGGAACATATGAAAGGATTATGAATCGCTCTTGGCTGCAGTTTTTGTTTCCTCGGCAGCAATTTTTTGCGTGTGCCAGATGTTGTTGCGTCGCTTTGCCGTGTTTGAGGCAATTTGCTATCAAAACGAGGACGGGCAGCTTTGCAGTATTTCACTGTTATAATGAGGACGGGCAGACTGTCGAAAAGAGGACGGGTAATCTGTCAATAGTGGAGAGGGGCAAAGCCGTTTTTGAGCTGGTTCTGAAGAATGCCCAGCTCCACCCAAATAGTATCTGGACGCCAGCGGAGACCTAGTAATACTACGGGTCGATACTAGGCTAGTATCGACCCGAGAGCCATGAAGCCTATTTTACTCGAGCAGCATCCATGTACATGAACACGCTCGAAATACATGTACTTTATAACAAGCAAAAACTACATCACTCCATTACCTCATCTAAAGCTCGTGCCTGAGGAGCCCCATGTAGTGGCAGCGAGCGTGGTGACTCAATAGAGATGCAGCTGTTTCGAGCTACGATTGGCTTCGTACTGAGACCGATCCACAAAGACTCAGCCGGAATCATGCAGCCTGTCTGAATCGGACACTCACCCCCGCTGCGAAAATGGAACAGCTGAAGGGAGAAGCCCGAAGCAACCGGCCTGTCGGTTGGCATCCGGTGACCAAATGCTGCCACGTCAGCACAAATGTTGCAACCGGTGAGCTAATGTGGAGCGTTGGAGCAGTATTGCTTGTACAACGTCGTACTTTGCGATTTTTGGACGGAGGGGGGTGGTACTTGTACTTGTTGAATTGCCGGAGGGACGCTATTTTGGTTATGGGGTACAAACAGCGCCTCCTCAAAGAAAACGTGATGTTGAGGAAGAGCGAGAAACCTTCAAGCTCCGAAAAAGTAAGAGTTAAGCCGTGAAATATTTTATGGGCCGCACTATTCCATGTGTTTCGTCGCTGTGGCATAAATCTCATGCTGTCTTCAGTGAAGACTTTTTACTGGCATCCCTGAACCTATTTCCGATACTACAGATTCACGATGGTAATTTACAACAATCGAAACGCTCTGCCACTCGGTTTCGCAGGCGTGAAGTGTAGTGTGAAGTGCATCGAGGCTATCGCACGAAGAAAAGGGTTCTGTCGCCTAGTCCACCGGGAGCTCACTCACCCCGCTTCTCCTCAAGATCGGACAGTTGGCTGGGGATACCAGTTAAAGCACCACGTCTCTGAAATGATCGAGCACAATGTAGTGTACTCTGCCCCACCCGAGCACCCCTTTCATTCAAAAGTTGGCAATCCGCTCCTGTAAAAGCTCATTTCCGATTTTCCCAAGCCGACGACCACCTTCGCCTCACCATGGTGTGCCACGCTCTGTCATCCAGCGGTGCCGCATCCTACGGCTCTGCTTCCCAGGACCCGGAGTCCGTGCAACTGATCAAGTCGACGCAGTCAACCCCGCCACGCCGACTCGGGCAATGGTACATCAACATGTTCATGATCAACTTTTTGGAGTTCGCAACCGAGTCGTCGCGCGGTATTGTGCTACCCACGCTCTTCCTGTACACGTCGTCTCTGGGCGGTGATCTGGCCTTCATGGGATTCATCAACGCGCTCTTTTCGGTCGGTCGCCTCTTCTCGAGTACCGTGTTTGGTTGGATGTGCGACCGGTACTCGTTCCGCTCCGTGTACCTCATTTCGACCTTCATTTGCCTTGCGGGTAACATCATCTACCTCGTTGCCGATGAGCACTTGACTGGCAGCTTGACGGCGCTGGCATTCAGTCGCTTCATCGTGGGATTCGGTGGTGGCAACCGCAGCGTGTGCCGTGCGGATGTTGCTTCCGTCACAACGATCAACCAGCGCCTGCCGTATCTGACAATTCTGGTCGGTGTGGTATTCTTGGGCTATGCGTTGACACCGGGTCTCGGTAGCCTCGTGGCCGATACGGATCTGATCATCTGCGGGGTACACTTGAACAAGTTCACTTCACCCGGTATGATCCTGATCATACTGAATGTGCTGACGATCTTCGGTATCATGACGGTCTACGATGACAGCGTGACAGTACACGACGGTCCCGGAGGACGAGGAGTGCGAAGACGGCCCTAGCAGTAACACGCTCAACAACCCCGACACTGATGCCGGACCGTATCGTGAACATCGGTTTGTGCGTGTTCATCTTCCTGAACTTCAATACGCGTGGCATCCTGTCGGTTTTTGAGACCGTGAATGTGCCGCTGTTTATTACGGCAACGGACAGCGACCCGGAGAGCGTGAGCGTCGTGATGGCGGCCTCAAATTTCCAGTTCTACTTGGGCTTGCTGGGACTTCTGTCGTACTTTTCGATTGAGTACTTCCGTCACAGCGTTCGCGACGAAAACTGGGTACACCTGGGCTTTGGAATGGTGCTTGCGGGCAACATTCTGCTGGCCATGGTACCGGAGAACCTGACGTTCACGCAGCTGTCCCTCGCCGAGTTCTTGGTCTGGAGTGTAGGCTGTCCGATCTCGACCACGGTGGTGCTGGCGGCGTTCTCCAAACTGCTGGGTGGCCGTCCACAAGGCACGCTGATGGGTTTGCTGGGCTCGACCGCATGCATCTCACGCAGTATCCTTCCGTTGCTGCCTGCGGTGATGCCGACGCTGGAGCCAGTGTTCTGGATCAATATCGTGCTGTGCGCGAGCAGCATCGTTCTTTTGTGGTGGTACACCGGTTTGGTGCACCGGACCAAGATGGCGATGCTAGCTGACGTCGAGAACGCCTACAGGGTAGAATCGCCTACGAACGACCCTCGCTCTCCTTTGGGCTCAGACAAAGCCGACTTCCCAGAGAACGACTAAAACACGTCTCATTTGCTCTCTTACTTCAAACCTGAAATCTTGATAATACATTCATGCAAGTTATGTTGCTACCCGGTACTCCTCTTGAACCTCAAGAAATCTCTAGTTTAAGCAATTTTTTTATTATAAACTACCAATAATATTTTCTCTCACAAAATAATCCAGGCAAACAAAAAAAAACAGAGCTATTTTTGCTCATCAAAGTCTTTTCACTTAAGTGACAATGGGCGAAGTGGAGAGGATCCGCGGCGCCTCAAGCTATGGCACTTTGGAGACGACGATCAATACGCCTCCTCCTCGTCTCTCGCAATGGTACATCAACATGTTCATGATTAACTTCGTCGAGTTCGCAGCCGAATCCTCGCGCGGCGTCGTGTTGGCAACGCTCTTCCTCTACACCAAGTCACTGGGAGGCGATCTAGCCTTCATGGGCATGCTCACGTCGCTCTTCTCAGTGGGTCGCCTTATCTCGTCCACAGTGTTCGGCTGGATGTGCGACCATTACTCGTTCCGGTCAGTGTACCTCGTATCGTCGGGTATCTGCCTGATGGGGAACGTCATCTACCTCATCGCAGACCAGCACGTGACTGGCAGCTTGACAGCGTTGGCTGCGAGTCGGTTTATCGTGGGCTTCGGAGCTGGCAATCGCAGTGTGTGTCGTGCTGATGTGGCGTCGATCACGACCATCAACCAGCGTCTCACATACTTAACGATGCTGGCCACAGTTGTGTTCCTCGGTTATGCTCTAACGCCCGGTCTTGGAAGCCTAGTGGCCAATACCGACACGTACGTGTTGGGTATTCACTTCAACAAATTCACGTCGCCAGGGTTGATCCTGATTGTCTTTAACGTGTTGACAATTGTTGGCATGGTGACACTATACGACTCATCCGTTCAGACTCGAGACGGTCCGTTGGAGTCATCGCAAGATGCTGCGATGAAGAAGACACTGAGCAACATTACGACCATGCCTGAACGCATTGTCAATGTCGGTGCGGTGGTGTTTATCTTCTTAAACTTCAACGCACGCGGTATCCTATCGGTGTTCGAGACGGTGAATATCCCGCTATTTCTTCAAGTTACGGGCAGTGATCCGGAGAGCGTCAGTGCAGTGGTGGATGCGTCCAATTTCCAGTTTTATCTGGGACTACTAGGACTGCTGTCGTATTTCTCGATCGAGTACTTTCGTCACAGCATTTCTGACGTAAACTGGGTCCAATTGGGGTTCGCAATGTTGCTCATAGGCAACATGATGCTGGTGGTGATGCCTGCCAGCTTGTCGTTCCCGCAACTGGCAGTGGCGGAGTTTTTCGTCTGGAGTGTGGGGTGCCCCATCACGACAGCAGTTGTAGTGGCAGCGTTCTCAAAGCTGCTGGGTGGCCGACCACAAGGAACGCTGATGGGTCTGCTGGGCTCTGCGGCCTCGGTGTCGCGCATCATTCTGCCTCTACTTCCTGCTGCTATTCCTACACTCTCACCTGTTTTCTGGATCAACATTCTACTGTGCACTCTCAGTATTTTGTTGCTGTGGTGGTACAGCCGCCTCGTGCACGAGACGAAGCTGCAGATGCTGGAAGATGCTGAAATTGTATTTCAGTTGCCATCACCTGGAAACGATTCTCGGGTCGCATCTGGCTTCGAACAAGATCGAATTCCCCGGCAAATTAAAGGGACTAAGTACTGGACGATCCCAGACAATAGCTGTTTCTTTTTGACGTTCTATCGCTTCCATCTCTGTCTACATATTGCCCAGTACAATGTTAGCGCGCAGAGAAAGGCTTCAACTCCCCAAAACTGCTGGTGACCTGTGGCTTCCCGAATGCGACAGTGCTTCTTTCTGTAAAGTCAAACGCAGATATTCTTGTGAGCTCAGCGACATATCTAAAGCATAGATCAGGGACAGCTCACCTGTCCAACAAAGGTACTTCTGCACACCAAGCACATGGTGCTGAAGCGACTGACGTCGGTGAACTCGTGCTTCTGATGAGCTTCCACCGCGACTTCGCTCGCTTGTTCAACCTGGTCCCCCCCATTTTAACCAATACGTCAGTTATAGCTCTTTAAAACTTACGCAGCTTATCCGCTCAACTTACCTTGGAGAAATCGTTAATCGCAAAGAGAGTCACGTCCTGACTCTCGGAAGCCGTGGCAGAAGGGGCCTCAACAACCAGGTCGTAGTGGATTCCGTCGTAGAGTAGGAACAGACGCTGAGTGAAGCCTTGGTCCTCGCCATAGCACAAGCGACTCATGCTCGTGACGTCGAAGACCACCATCTCCACTTTGTAGTATATCGATAGAATGGACAGCTCGATCTCTCCACCCCACGACTTGTCGTCCATGATCCACGCGCAATATTCGTACACAGGGCGTCCTAGAAACACCTCCGAGTATTTTTCGGGGTCTGCGAGGATTGTGTCCTTGATTAGTTGCCGCATCCCGGGGCCATTGCCTTCTCTTCCCTTCCCGAGAGCATATCCGATCGAATGAAACAGACAGCTGTTGTCTGCCGGCATAACACGCCGTATAAAGACCGACTTGGCCTTAGGTTGTGCAGTGCTGTTCTCTGGTGCCTCCTTGAGTACCAGTACCGAGCCCGTCCGAACACCCAAAGACGTCAATGTACTCTCCTGCATTTTAGAACAGCCAAGGTATCCGTTAGCTGACTATCTGCTCTTTACCACATTACTAATCAGTCTTACATACCCCTGATCCCTCGATCATCTTGGGAGGATACCCCGTCATCACTGCAGCATCAATCGGTAATACGAAATCTAGTTAGATAAGTGTGCAATCGACTTGAAAGAAGAAATGATCCACAGCACTTGCCGTGCTGGTCCTGCGGCGGGATGGACGTCTTCTCAAATAGATGGGCGCGCAGACCATCCAGCGTGATGTCGTCCGGTAGCCCCATGAGCTTCATGGATGTGCCATTCGCGAACGTCACCTTAAAGTTCATCGGCATCTCTTCGCTGCAAAGCCGTTCTAGACAACTTCTTCACAGTACACCAACGTTACACAAAAATACAGCCTCTGGATTACTAAACATGGGCCGCAGAAAAGAATTTTACGAGGCATAAACTACGCCAGAAATTGCTTAGTACCGGTACCGTACCGGTATGCCCTCAAAGAAAACAGACAGCGCTTTGCAAATTCTTTTTTAAAAACGTACTTTGTTTCCAAAAAAGTAAACCTATTTTTTTCACTTTTCCTTTAAAAGCAAAAATAGATTTCAAAAGCAGTCAATTTTTGTTATAATAATTCTGCGAGCATGCTGACAGCAGATGACGAGAAATTCATACTCATTTCTCGACGCGAGCACGCTTCATTTCAGCACCGTCGGCGTTCAAAATGCCACCAAACTGTTCCTTCAGCAACTTTCTCATGCTTAACCAGCTCTTTCTGTTGCGTCAAAAACCAATCGCGCGTTTTAGTAATCGTCACAAACGACTTTCCGTCAATTTCGGCGGCTTCCATTTCGAACGAACACTCATCTTGCTGCCTCGGCATGTCCTTGGCCGCATAGTTCTTGGCCTCTTGAAATTCCTTGAATTCTTCCACACCTTTGGTGGTCATCGACCTCGGAGACACGCCTCAATTTTTTCGTTATTCTCGAATTCTGCGTTTGGCATTTCCCACGAAAACTTCCTGTCCAGCTTTCCAATGTGCTCCTTTAGCCACTTCGCTCGCAACGGCACCACCTGATCCAGCACAGCACACTTTTCACTGTCTCCGTTACTACTTAAAGCCGAGAACAAGCTATAAAAATATGGAGAAGAGCGTGAAGTGTTTTCGACAAAGTTTTTCCGTCTAGTTTGCGAGCTACTCGCAGAAACAGGAGACGCGAAGGTCGTGAACTTGTTCCTTACGAGCTACTGTGGAGCTCTTAGTGGAGTGGAAGGCAACAAGACTTTTGTGCCATCGATTACGTCGATAGTACGCACATTTGAGTGGTCTGAAAATGGGGACGCTGTTTTAAAGGCATTGAGTTCGGACGCCGAAAAAAAAGATGAAGACGAACACATCCCACCGTTCGAAATGGTATTACGTGTGGTCGACGGTCTGGATAGTGGAGCCGCTCAGGAAGCCTTGGTCTAAGAGGCAGTTGAAATTGCGGCTCAGATGGATGATGACGAGTTGTTCACGTCTCACTCGATTGGATTGTTTTGGAAACGGATTACTCGCAGTGATCGCAAAAGCCACCTCGAAACTACAGTCAAGAAGCTTGTGGGCCGATACGAGTCTACTTGGTCCCTCGATCCAGTACTTATCGCAATATTTGAGTCCTGGCACTTGCACCCTTCAAGAATTGAGAAAGCTGTTCGCCAGACATTTGCTTCCCACAGTGCAAGGCTTCAGCAGCAGCATCCATTGGCATAAACTTGAACGCTTTGTCGACATGCTTAGCTGCTGGCCAAGCCACAATCGCGTATCGCGTGTAAGTTGACACTGCTTCAGAGCTCTCGTTGCCTACGTATCCTCCTTCTTTGGTCATCCTCCCGTACGCCGATAAACTCCAAAGGCTGTCAAGATCTTCTTGCCCAGGGTTCAGAATATTCAGCTTTTCAGTAAACTTCGCGACCTTGCCAAGGCCTTCCCCCGTTCTTGTGAACCATATAGTCGAGTCCTTATGACCCCCCTTATGGCATTCATCACCGTCATAATCGTAGTTAACATCATGCCGCAACTGTACGATGAAAAACAGCAATTTCTTGTCCTCGGGAACAAATGCATTTGCTCCATCGAGCGCGTGAAATCTGTCACTCTCTCCAGAGCATGTTCAGCATCAGCATAGTGAACAGCGTAATGTGGAAGACAGGCTGCAGTACCATCGACTTTCCCACAATCATGACGGTACTTCACTTCTCCATCTCGATACACCACCAGATCTCCGCCTTCGTGTGTGCTGGGAGGCTGCACCACTAAAGTTGCAATCATTCCATCTTCCTTTTCCGTGTCCTGGTGCTTGACAAAGTGGCCTCCTTCGCCGTATACTAGCAGCTTATATAGCAGACATTTCAGAAGAACCTCCCTGTATCCCAACCGGGTAGCGACGTTCTTGCTCAGGTTCTTAATGCCCGTTTGCCAGAGTGGATTCTTAAATTTGACAAGGTTTGGTTGCAATTGCCAGCTCTTCCGGACGTTGTCGTCCATCTTAGTGTCCATATTGTGGCCGAACGGGGACTTTTCACATAGCGCAATGAGGTTTTCAGCTTGCTCGGCGAATAAAGGGGTCGAAATGGCACCCAAGCCGTCAACAAATAGGCCAGGTGCGACTGGTAAGGTATCAGCGATTCCTCCGAACGAAAACTCTCCAGCATCAGCATCAGCACGGGCGAGGAGCTTACTCACTTCAGATGAGCCAGCTCCTGAAGGGGTAACAACGTCTTCTAATTCACCTTCACAGCCAAAAGGCCACTTATTGTCGTCAAAGGCGTCTTCCATTTTCGTGTGGCTTGGAGCTGAGTGCGAAAAATGGAAAAATGAGTCTAGTGCTAGTCAATATCTTTCGATCGGTCTCTGTTTCACGGAAATTGAAAGGAAATCGCCACGAAATCACGCTGGTTTTAAACCACTTTGTGTGTGGTGAGAAAAGGTCCGTCAACGAAATGGCCGACAGAGTTCCTCAAGAAATGCGTTGACTTTCATTTGCTGCCATCAATTGAGAAGGAGACGTCACAAGGAAAGCTACAAAACAATGGGTCGAAAGTGAATGAACGTAGTAACCTGAAAGGAAGCCTAATCTAAAGATGTCTAGGACTTAATCTGAAGATGTCTAGGGCTTTTCAGTCTTTCTTGAACCACGAGGAGATTTTCGACGTAATTTTTGCCTTCAGAGCGTTCTCATCCTTGCTCGACTCCACAGCCTCGTCCACGACATCCACAACGGAGCTTGGGGCACCCAGGTAGCGCTCTTCGAAGGAGCCAATACCGGGTACAATGTGGCCTTCATTGTTACGCCTCGAGTCAAAGGACGCGGTCACCAAGCGAGCGTCATCGAAAGCCTAGTCATAATCCCAGAATAAGTAAAAAATATTATGCACAAGTAACAAACTCGTAGCAAACCTTGCAAAAGCCATCTGCAGCTTCGGGACAAGTGACAAGAGTCACCACTGTAATTTTCTCTTCTTCAACACCTTGTTGCATCAAAAGCTGCCACCGTGTCATTAGCAAAAAAACTCCAATAGCGAATAAGCGATCGTACATGAATAACTTTGTCAATTTGGGAGACGGAGGCTAGTTCCGGCAGCAGTAGCAGCACTTCGTGGCCATCTAGATCTTCTGGAAGACTGGCCTTGGCGATCTGATCATTTAAAATACACTTTGTTAACCAAAGGCTTCGATTAACACGCTAACGAGTTCCCTTGTTACCTTGTTACCGCCCTTTGCGGCCTCTTGCACCAAAATCTCACCATACTTGGCGTCATACGGTAGGGAAGTACGGAGAACTTGCGACAAACTGCATATTGACACAGTGAGTCAAAACACGCCAGCTCCCAAAGCATGCAACTCCTTCAACTCACCCCTTTTGGGCCTCCGGGTTCACGGCAATGCTGATACCGCACACCTTCACGTCGTCCTCAAACACGAGACCTTCCGCTTTATAGCCACGCGGTGTTGTCACGACAGCCTACACAGACACGTCCAATGTCAGTCAGATACTGGAAGCAACACAGATAGTAATCAACTGGCACCTCTTCGTCGTTCGGGAGCTCCGTAAGCGCCAGGTCCAACGTCGAGCGCAGCACCCCGTTCGCGTCATGAGTGAACTTGGCACCTTTCCGTACGTACAGTAAGCAACTAGAGCGACAGTGTTCTTGTGTCGTTGCAGTGAACTCACCAGCGTTCTCGTAGTCGCGGATCCTCGTCATACCGAGCTGGATCAACTCGCTCTCCAGGTCCAGTACTACCACGTTCTCGTGCTGCAACCAATGACAATAAGCCTCCAAGTACTTAAATATTCAAGCAAGTAAACGCTGCAGCCAACCTGAGCTTTCCAGAGCTCGAGACGGACTCCTCGCCCCAGTGCTTCACTGCAGACACAAATTCGAGCGTAATCTCATGGCCATCTTCTCTACTTCTTATTATTTTTCTGGTCTCCGTACCCACTGGCGTACACACGCTGCTCCGCATGCGCTTCCTGCTGTGGAAGCAGCATGGGGGCGCCCATGAGCGCCGCCACGCCCAGCTTCGCGTGGCTCCGCACAGTTCGTAGAAACATTTTTTTTTCGTTTAATCGATAATGACGATAAGTCAGGATCCACCACAACTAAACGACGCCTTTTAATTGGTTAAAAATATCAGCTTCAACTAAAATGTAGCCATGTTGCTTGAAGAGTCACGGGTTGACACTATTGCTGATTATTAGGAGACCATGTTGAAGCGAGGCTCACGGACGGATGGATCTTCCAGACGCAACAGATGGACCGAAAGCGCGTCAGAGAGGGATGTGACTCCACGATCTCGTTCTTCATCGCCCCGACCGACGCGAAGGAAGACGAGGAAGAGCAATGCAAGTGCCTGGGACTCGACCGATGAGGCCGCGCAGAAGAAGAAAGACAGGATTAAGAAGGCAGGAAGGATGAAGCGAGCTCCATTACTAGACCACTCGATTGTGGAGGCAGTATACAGCGCCATGGCGGGGCAAGCACAGCGACGTGCGAGTCGACATTGGCTCGAATTGCTCGCAAAGTACGAGGAAGAAAAACGACCAGGCGTGATCAAAGCCGACAAGTTTACGAGGTGTTTGAACAAGATGAAGATCCAGTTGGACAATCGGGAAGACTACGAATCGCTTGCGGACTGTTTTAAGGTAATAGATGGGACTGGAGACGACAGTGACAACAATAGAGAGCGAGTGACCCAACTCGTCGACTACGCGGCATTTGTTGACTTTGCATGCAACGTTCGAGACTCAGAAAAGCTGAGCGAAATTGCCGATTCATTGCGTGATAGCATCTCAAAGTACGACGGAAAAAAACAGTCGTCATCTTCCTATAACTTGGCTACAGGACTGGAAAAACTCGATCGCCATAAAAGAGGGTGGATCACTTCCACGCAGTTCGAGCGAGTTTTTCGGCGAGAGGACCAAGGACCATCGTTTGATCTAACTGCATCACAAATTAACACTCTTGTGGATCGCTTTGAGTACGAGTACGAGAAGCAGCAACTTGGTATCGACTACATGCAGTTTGCGCAATGGCTACAGCCACTTCTTCATCTTGACGTGAAAAAAGTCCACAAACGGGTAAAGTTGCTGATCGAAAACGCCGGATTGAAACATGGTTGGAAACTAGATGAGGTTTTTAAAGCTATGGATGATGATAGAAACGGAGAGATCGATGCGGTGGAGTTGAAGGAAGCTCTGTTAGAAATGGGTCTTCCCCTGACAGACGCTCAGATTCGATGCTTGGCGGACGAATACGATGTCGACGGAGACGGTAAGATCCAGTACAATGAGTTCATATCTTTATTCACCTCGTCCGCTAAGAAACGAGCAGAGATTAAGAAGAAAAAAGGAGATAACCAGAGTGATACGGGTAGCACCACGGACCTAGCTAAAACCAGGAGAAACAGACCTAAACGGAATGTCCGGAACTCGTTTAGCTGGGGAATCAGCAAGGCGTTTGCACGGAAACAAGCTGCAAAGGGTGACAGCAGGAGGAGCATCACCGACAGACGACGTGCGAGAGATGAAGCTTCAGCGTCTTCAGAGGAAGGCAGTAGTGACGCAGCTTTAAAGAGAAAGCCGCGAAGACACCAACTGCGAGATGAAACTTCCAGTGAAAAGGAGACGACTGAGAAACAGACAACCAAGAAGCGAAGAAGCAGGAATCAACTCTCGGATACCGAGGAAGCCAAACGTGAGAGTAGTTATGCCTCGGATAACCACAACCGGCCCAGTTCTAAATCCAAATCAAGACGCGAAGTGGTTAGCAAACGAGCTGTTCGTTTATCCTCCACCGAAACCGAGCAAGAGGATTCAGCTCGTAAACAAAGAAAGAGACGAGAAAGTCGAGTCAAACGCAAGGTTAGGGAGCGGACTACAACTGCTACATTTAGAAGCGACGAGGAAAGGAAAGCACAAGACAGCACTTCTGACGCCCCCAAACGCCCCAGGAGAAGCGAAAAAAGCTTAAGAAAAGCGCCGAAAAGAGGTCGTAGTCGGAGGTCGGCTTCACGATCAGGTCCTCACTCTCGCAGCCGTCAGAGATTAACGCAACGACACTCACCTCGCCGTCGTGCCACGTTGAGTCCCAGGCGAAAACGTCGGGTCAGTCGATCACGGTCGGTGCGAATGCGACGAGCTACGCGTAGCAATGCTGCGTATAGTAGCGAAGACGACAACAACGCTGGTCTCTCGGACAAGAACGACTCGTCATCCGGTCTGGATGTTGGTCAGCTTCGCCGACTCCAGAAAGCAAGAGGACCACGCACTATCCGTCGACGCAGCTACGTCCCGAGTGTTTATGGTGACGAGACGGATGAAGAACCGGAAGAAAATGGCTGGGATGACTCCGAGAACAGTGAGAACGAAGAGGATGGAGAAGAATGGAGTCGGTCAGATGAAGAATACCACAAACACCTCAAGCGCTCACTGCGTCGAGCGTTTGATTTCTTCGATCTGGACCAGACTTCGACGATCGACAAACGCGAGCTTAGTCACGTGCTACGAGCGTTAGGTCACGAGTTCACGTCGAAAGAACTGGAAGCTGAAATGGCGAGTGTTGACCTGGATCGGAATGGACAACTGGACTTCCACGAGTTTGTGACGTTCGTCAAGAAGCAGCTCGCTCAGAAAACGTATTTATTGTCGCAACAACGCGAGATGGAGATCCGCCAGTCCTTCCAGTCTCTCGATACCGACAAGAACGGAGCTCTGGACGAGCAAGAGTTCGAGTATTTGGTCTACAAAGTGCTGCAAGTGGAACTGTCAATCGAGGAGCAAGCTGCTCTGCTGGATTTCGTCGACAAAGACGCCGATGGCTTGATCAGTGAAGAGGAATTTATTGCCTTCATGAAGGAGCTGGAGAGTCTGCAGCGTAAAAACAGTGGCAAAGGTGGCTGGAGGAAGCAGAGAGAGTTCATCGATTCTCTCGACGGCATCTCTCAGCTGGCCTACTCTGCAATGAAGAAGCTTGTGCGTGGAGCTCCCATGGACATTGACCGCAGTCTGCTCATGTTTTTCGGCATTCCTTCCAACTTCCGTCCAGCGATCTCGTCTGCCGCGACGTGTCGGACACTGAAGCGCAACACGATGGAGCATGTGCTGTCATTCCCTTCACCGCAGACTATCGAGGCTTTGGCTTTGGACACCCGAGTGAGCGATAAGAAGTCGTGGTTTACACTGAATCGCCTTGATACCAACAGCGAAGAGTATCGAATGCTACAGATAGCGGAGAGTGTCGAGGCACAAGCGGTTGTATCTCTCAAGAGAGCAGCGGGAGTGCCCAAGCCTTTTGACACGAGGGAAGATGACGTTGTGAAGCGCTGTGTTCACGTGTGTTTGTTCCAAGAGCAAGAAGAGAGTTCTGCTACTGGTAGACGTAAAAAAGAGGTCAAGATAAAAGCAGGCAAGGGAGTTTCTGGCTTTGTGGTGGGTAATGTGCACGAGATCCCCGTGTATTGGCATCAGGGTGAAGAGGACGTGTGGGAATTCTCAAAGAAATCCACCAAGCAAGACAAGTACAAGTTCCTCGTGCGTACGAACGCGGTGAACGACCATTTGTACTTGCTTGTGGAGTTTATTGTGCATCTCAGGTTAAGTCCTGAAGAGCATCAGGCGAAGAAGAAGCGCTCAAAACGAAGGATACCAGCTCAAGACCGAGATGGGAGCGATGACGAGACGAGTGTCGACGCAGAAACTCGAGAGATGGTGTGCTGCTGGTGCAAGATTCCAGCTCGACAGCTATTGGCTAAACGCTCTGGAATTTTACGTCGGAAGGAGAAATTGTGGGGTGGCACAGCGAATGCCCCGGTGGATATCGAGCAGGATGAACTACTGCGGCGACGAACTGGCTGGCGGGCGTTCACGAATATGTTCACGAAGCCATCTCCTCCACTCATGGGCATCAAGAGCGTTCCTATTGACTTTTTGTCAGAAGATCTGCAGCTTTTCGTTCGGAAAATGCCGCCAATTGTGATAGCACCGTTCGTGTCGCTGCCGATCCTGGCCGAGTACATGACTCTTGTGAGGAAAACCCTCGCCTGTGTTACCAGCTCCTCTTCAGGTAGGACTTATAAACCATATCACTGTACGCGAAACATCATATCGTAACATCGATTTGCTGCAGTTATGACATGCGAACCTGCGCTTAAACTGCTGCCGAAAATCGTCGACGACCACGTCGCGCTGTCAATTTTTCGCAAAGCTTTCGACTCGGAAGTGGCAGGAATGAAGACCGGTGAGGTGAGTGAACAAGTGTCACACTAATTGATCTCCAACTTAAACCCAACCTATTTGTTTTTGCAGGAGCGGCAGCTGAAGTTCGAGCAGCTTGTGCTGCGTATGTGGCCGTCGTTCGTGCACTGGCAGGAGCGTCTCCCTCCTTCGCTCCTACCTCCAGTCAAACTACCCGGCTTGCCCCCCAATGCCAGAGCACCAGATAGTGTTCCACCGAAAGGCGTATCGGCTTCTATCTCCACCACCGATGAAGAAGATCCTCTAGTGGCGGCCCAAATGAGACTCAACTTGCTACAGAAAACAGCAGCAGGGTACGTTTTCTGTTCTTACCCTTCGGTTAGGCGACTTCCAGTGGCTTCACTGACGTTGTTCCTTATAGCAAACTTCGCCTGCAAGACGTCCGCGTGACGTCCACGCCATTCCACGTGCGCGAAGTTGCCTTCCGCCGTTTGTTGTAGTTGCCTTTATGTAAGCAACATAAATGTATCCATTTCATTTATTCTGTACTCATGTTGTTTCAGCTAATCGCTGCAGTGTATCCATCGCACATAAAACGTGTGGCCATGATGTCATCTTCGAGCCATGCGTGTCACTCGCCGCATTCGAAGACTTGCCGAAGCGTGGATCGTGTTTCGCTATCGAGCAGCAGAGCAGAGCATGGAGATACTGCGTGGCCCCGTGGACGGCATCGCCCTAAGCGAGAACTTCCCTGTTGATGGATTCCGCCTCATGGTGGCGCTTGCGGGTTGCAGCCTCATCGCACCGCTCATCCACCTCACACGCGGCGAGACATCTCGTACGATCATGGCTACATCAGATGCAGACTATTTTCTTGTTTGGTGACGTCAAATTTGTGCATTAGGTCACTTGTTCAATGTTGCGGTGGGACTATTCGCCGGCGTCTTCGTGTTCGACTTGGCCGTGTTGCACACTATCGGGACGGCCGTTGTTGTGTATTTGCTCATGATGGTGGCTCCAAGGTGAGGCAGACATAGCACTAACATTTGTGTTTTATATAAAATACTAATTTCTTAAATTATTTTTTTAATTCCAGGAAGCTTGTGGGGCGCATTGTGCTGCCGCTGCTGTTGGCGTACCTCGTGGCGATGTGAGTGAGGCAACTTACAATGTCAAAATGCTAGCTAATTCTATGTTTTTGTATTTTTTTAGTCACTATTACCGTGAATTCTACAGCCCAGACATTGTGTGGGACTCGGCCCAAATGATCCTAACGCTTAAGCTCAGCAGCGTCGCGATCAACTACAGTGACGGCGGGCTGCCCACGGAGAAGAAGACGCCCACAATGCTTAAGAACGAGCTGCAAGAAATCCCAGAGCTGATCCCGTACTTTGGTAGGTGACGTTTCTTTCTATCCAAGATCTCAACTTTGGACTAAATTGATGTACTGTACAGGCTTCGTTTTCTTCTTCCCGACCTACTTGGCTGGTCCTGCGTTCGAGTACAAGGACTACATTTACTGGATGAAGGACGTTCGCGTTGCTCCTTTCATGGTCCATCTCCGCAATCTCGTCGTCCTTGTGGTGCGTTGCTTAGTTTCCTCTACTCTGCTAGCTGTCGGGTGCTAAATTTTGATTTATATTTATGATATCGTAGATTTCCGCTGCTGGTTTCTTCGTCTCGCTCCAATTCCCCGTCGAGGAAATCGACTCCCCCGACTTCTTCCCGAAATCGTCGTGGGCTGTGCGCTGCCTCCGTATGTGCATCCCTGTCGTGTTGTTCCGTTTCCGCTACGTACGTGTCTTCTTGCTGCATGTTATGTATCGTTGCTGATTGTGTGACACACAGTATCTGGCCTGGTCGCTGGCCGAGGCGGCGAGTGCTGCTGCGGGCGTGGGCTACGTGCAAGCTACTGGAAAATGGTGCGTAGCCATCCCACTGTACTCTCTACCTATGACGTGCTGAAGCTCTAGACGTGTCCATAGGAACGGCATCACGAACAACGATCTCCTGTGTGTGGAGCTTCCGACGAATTTCCGAGTGGCCATCAACAGCTGGAACATTGGAGTTGCGCGCTGGATTAACACTTGTACGTCAAAGGATCACCATGAGGGCTGCAAATTACACTCTTGACTCACCAAGAGAGTGTCTTCCTCTGCAGACATTTACCAGCGCGTCGGTCTGACCAAGTCTGGGAAGTCCACGATGCTCTCCACGATGGCGTCATTCTTTGTCAGCGCTCTGTGGCATGTGAGTTCAATGATCTAACCGCAATGCACTGCTGTACAGTAGAATACTGACTTTACTATTGAATCACCGTAGGGACTGTCGCCTGGTTACTACCTGTTCTTCCTCTTGGGTGGCATCTACATCGAAGTTGGCAAGCGTGAGTCTCTCCGTGTATAGTGTATCCTCTGTTTGCGTATACTGACGTATTGTTGCCAACGTTGCTAGAACTTCGTCGTCGTCTGCGTCCATACTTCCACTACACGGAGGACCGTAAGGCTCACTCGCATGCCATTTTCCTCTCGTACTTTAGCGGCACGTCTCATCCACTGGCCTTCTTGTACGACATCTCGGGCATGTTCTTCACGTGGGTGGCGATGCAGTACGCTGGTGTCGCCTTCGAGATCCTGGACGTGCGTCGTTGCCTCGCCATTTGGAGCTCGTGGTACTTCCTCCCGCACCTTGTGAGCATCGGCTTGCTGGTTTTCTTTAACCTCTTCCCGCAACGTCGCTCCACTCCCACCGACAAGAAGACGCAGTAACAAGTCATCCGAAGTGCCGAGTCAATAGATCCATGCCTCTGTCAACGCATTTTTTTTTCTCACCATGTGTCCTCGTATGAGATTGAGCAGGTAGAAGAATTATTTTTACAGTTTTCAGTGCTGGTAGACGTCCAAGTTTATCAGAGCAGTTACCGTTTCCATCGTGGCTGCTTTCAAGTTGATCTGGTCTTCGCAGCTTCTGGCATTCCTATCACCGGCTTAGCCCGTCGTCAATGTGGCGAAGCTAACTGCTTGTCAGTCTGTCCTGAGTCCCATCGCAGTCTCAGTAGATTGTTCCAAGTGCATACGACGTATGCTGTAGGCGGTCTGAATCATGTCTGGATTTCGCCACCGCCGCCATCGGATGGCCAACCCGCCCCGAAATGGCCGTGCGTTATGGGGCGCACTCAAGAGGAACTTACCAGCATATGTTGGACGACGAAGACGCCACGCACGACGACTACTGAAACCTCGTTATTTTATCGACCCGGAAGCTCCAGCCAAGAGGATGTGGGACTTGCTGCTCACTTTTCTCGTGCTGTACACCACACTGGTGGTGCCATTTCGCGTGTGCTTCCAGGTCGAAGCAGTAGACGGCTTTGCAGTCATCGAAGCGATGATGGACGTAGCGTTCTTCGTCGACATCGTCTTTAACTTCATCACCGGTCTCCAATTACCGTCCGGAGAAGTTGCCTACAGCTTCAAAATTATCGTCAAGGCGTATCTGCGTGGCTGGTTCACTGTTGACTTCTTCTCGACGCTCCCGTTCGAGTCGCTTGCCAAGCTGTTCGGGGTTGGGAACAACGCACATGCTGCGCTTCTATCGGCAAAGCTACTGCGTGGTCTTAAAGTACTTCGATTGTTCAAGCTCGCACGGATACGCCGACTGGGCAAAGTGTTCGCTAACCTCGAAGACGCAGTCTACACGAACCAGAGTCTCATTTCGCTCGCCAAACTAGCTCTCACTATGCTCTTCATCGCCCATCTCGTGGCTTGTTTGTGGTACGCTGTGGGGAGAACCGACTCGGGCGAATCCTGGCTGATCAGTATTTCGCTTGACCCAGCGGGTGTTGTGACTGATACCGACTCGCTGCAGTATGTCAGGTCCATGTATTGGGCTATCGTCACTATGGTACGTTATTTATCGTGGCGTGTAAAATGTTTGTACTAAAGTTTTAGTTGTTGCAGACGACGATCGGATATGGAGATATTGTGGCACATAGCAACAATGAAAGATTGCTGAATATCGCTGTCATGGCGGTGGGGGTGTCCTTCTTTGGGTATGTTATTGGCACAATCTCGACCTTGGTGACGAACTTGGACGTAGCTGCTGCTCGGTATGATGAACGGATGACGGTTGTCAAGGAATATATCATCTCACGTCGCATGCCCAAGTACATTGGCAACAAGATCCGCCACCATTTCGAGTATTTCTACCAGAATCGCTCAGTTTTTAAGGAGCGTCGGATTCTTAAACGACTCCCGTCTGCGCTTCGGAATGAAATGGTGAGTTGAGTTATTTTATATCCATAGTAGAAGTCAGAAGCTTACGATATTTATTTTTGCTGCTTGTAGATCCACCACGTGCACTCCAAAATCGTTTCGAGTATCAAATACTTTGTTCACTGTCCTGAGAGTTTAATTAGCGACATCGTCATGGCCATGCGTCCGTTTGCTGTGCTTAAGGACGAGTATATTTACGTCGAGCACGAGATCGCGGCGCATGTATTTTTCATCATAAAGGGCAAGGTCCAGCTGGTCAAGACAGTCAGACGCGGCAAGGAAGACACCCGTCTTGCCACTCTGAGTGTGGGCGATCACTTTGGCGAGGTTCGTATCTCTACCCAGTAACTCTTCGCATGACCTCTATCTTCTGATAAAATGGTGTGTTGGCAGCTCGAAGTGTACGACCATGACCATGGCAACGGAGTGCGTATCTGTTCAGCTGTGGCAAAGTCCTATAGTGAGCTCACTTTTCTCTCTCGGGAAGCTATTCAGAAGATCAGTACGTGTCTGCGATGTACTCGCTGTTCCTCATTAACTGGTTTAACGTGTAGTTTTTCTCTAGGTGTCAGCTGGCCCGAAGTTATTAAACATTTCCGTGAAACTGCAGCGACGATCGCCAGCAGCATGTGGCGACGTGTGGATCCTTCAGTGTTCGACACATCCCTCAAGCCCGTCCCGCTCGTTCCTGTGTACCACAAAAGTGTCGATATCACGGATGTGGTGGCCAAGACTTCGATCATGAACAGCAAAGTTCGACCCGCTCGCATCGCCCCCTTGATGCCTTCGAATGTAATCGACACGTCGTTGTCAAGACCCCAGACAATACTGGAAGAGAGTGGCGAAAGTGGAGATCAGCAGTCCAGTATGACTGAAAAAAACACTTCCTCGACTTCTTCCGATGCTGCAAGTGATCAGCCAGAGTTGACCCCTACGAGCAACCATGCGTGGCTTGCCTCTCCTGAACCATGCGACCCGCCTTCGATCCACGCTGTACATCCGCTTACAAGGCCGTTTACCTCAATCGCCCAAGGTCGTAAAGCCACACTAGAGGCACTTCCTGGCTCTCCGTCGACTAGATCAAACATCAGAGCTAAGGGAGTGACGTTCGATAGATTAGACGCTTTGGATCCCAACGACGACCAAACTGAAGACCAAGATCACGACTCTGAGCACTGCGAGGAAGGCGTTCAAGCTACCGCGTTTTCAACACCCGAGGAGCGCTATGCTCCTTCTACGATATCGACGAGTATACCGGAAAATGGACCTTTGTCAACCGAACCGGAACATCCCGACAAGAGTTTAGCTCTGCAACAACTAGCCAACCAGATTATCGAGCCCCAACCGGATGATACTCCACATGAGGGACGCGCATCCCTGGCTGGAGCGAGTAACGAGAGCGAGCTCCACGATATGATTGTCAAGATCCGAGACTCGCCACATGAACCTACCAAACGGAATCTCAAGTCGGAGCGTGTGATGCTTAGAGGAACCTACTTGTTTCATCCGCAAGAGCCCTCAATCGTGTTTTGGCAGTTCTTTGTCGGCATCGGCATTGTGTATTCGATCATCGTCGTGCCGTTTCGATTGGGGTATGACGTCGACGCCGTCGGTGGTTGGTATGTGCTTGAGATGATCATCGATGGCTTCTTTCTCGTGGACATACTACTGAATTTCCGTACCGCCTACTTTGATGACGAACGAAAACTCATTTACGACCCTCGCACCCTTTTTTGGAGATACGCTAAAGGTTGGTTCCTTCTCGATCTCATCTCCACTGTTCCTATCGACGAGCTATTCCAGTAAGTACTTTACAACTTCTTTTTTTTTAGTTATTCTTGCTAATTACGCTGTTTCTGTAGAGCTGTGGTGGGTACTTCTAACCAGACAGTCCGGCTGTTCCCTACAAAGCTCCTGAGACTCTTTCGAATCGCTCGACTACTCAAACTCACTCGGTTAATTAAGCTCAGTCGTGTCTTTGGTCGTATTCGAGATACCGTTCAGGTAAGAAGAATTCTCACTTTTATAATCTTTGGAGCTGTATTAACCTGTTTTTTTCTTATAGTTGAGTCCATCGACAGAACGGCTTTTTAAATTATTGGCAATCATGTCGATCTTTTGTCATTGGAGCGCGTGTATGTTTCACAGCGTCATGATGATTAGCGAGTCTGCGGGTTATCACAGTTGGTGCGTCGACGCTTTCTTCCCGAACGAACCTCAACTTATCGAGTGCGTCGAGCTGGTTCCTGTTGGTGATCGATACATCGCAGCTCTCTACTGGGCGTTCACCACACTTACAACCGTGGGTTATGGAGATGTCAAGCCCAGTCTCCATTCGCCGTATGAATTGGTCGTGGTGATCATCCTCGTGGTGGTAAATGCCACTGTTTTTGGTTACATTATCTCGTCGGTGATGACACTTATCCAGAATTTAGACCCAAGTGACCGTGAGTACCGATTGCTGATGACCGAGATGAAAGATTACCTGCGAGATTCTTCAGTTAGCGAGCGTCTGTGTACCAACGTCAAGATGGTAAGTCTAGCGCTGTAATACTTGGTCGTGCATCAGCTCTAACCTGACATTTTTTTCTAGCACTACCAACACCACATTGCGTGCACGAGTCTCTTCCCCGAGCAAAAGGTACGAATACTACGCTTTAAATTAACTTAAACTAGGTGCGCTAATATGCTGCTGTATCGTCCAGTTATTCGACAAGATGGCTCCGAGTTTGCGCTTTGATGTTGCTCGTCTTGTTGCCGTGGAGAATTTATTTTCAATCCCGCTGGTCACGGTCATGGAGGACTCGTTCAAAGGCTTCGTGTCGTACGCACTCTTCCTCATGAAGCCCGTTTGCATTCAGCGAGGCGAGACAGTGTGTCGTTGCGGCAGTCCAGGCACCGAGACGTTCTTTCTCGTCGAGGGCGAGTGTGATCTCTTCAACTCCAAGACAAATGTTGGTCGTATTATCAGAGAGAACTCGGTCTTCGAGCAGTACGCCTTGATGGCGCAACACCAAGAGCTCTATCGAACGGTCTCGACTGCGACGGCTCTTACGGGCAAGTGCATCCTGTACTCGCTCACTCTACAGGACTTCAAGTAAGTGCATTGTCACTTAATTATTGTCAGGGTATCTAAGCTCAAAGTAACGCTGTCGATTCGTGCTGTAGGGCTCTGGAAAACGTCTCACCAGCAGTAAGCACGTACTTTGTGAGTCAGCTGGCGTCCGTACTAGTCGCCGACGAGATGTACTCGCTACTGCCACACCAAAAGACCAACGTTCAGCTCGCATTGCTGCGTGGTCAAAACTTCCGATCCGTGGCAGAGCAGACTCGCGGCAGAGTGAAGCTCAAGGATCTCGGTCGAGTGGCCATGGCGAATCTCTACAAGCGACGAGGTAGCGAGTGGTCTCCCGATCTTCTGCCCAAGCAACTTCAGATGTTCGCGGAGAAGGAGCGAGCGAGTGGGGCTACAGTGGCAAGTGCTGTGAACGCCATCGCCAATCGCCAATCGGAATGCGAGCACATCGACGAGTCGTCCACCGCCTCAACTATCGAACACAACGGGGAATCCGATAGCAACTTGCTTTACAGCACGATGCAGTCGACCAGCGACGCGCCTGAGACCTCGGAACGCACCAACTCCAGAAGAACTCAAATTGTACACGTCATCTAACACTTCGAATAACTACAGTAGATCTTCTTGGGAGTAGGGGTATTTTTTTTCAATGTAAGTTTTGCGCTATGCTCCAACTATTAATACACCTTTGCCTGACAGCAGTGTAGAGTGTCTCGTAATGAAGGATTTGTCAGTAACTCCTAACAACCAGGGCGGCGGATCTTCATATACATCCTCTCTCTAGAATTGTTTTGGGTAAGCCTGATTTTGAGGACAAGCTAGTTACTATTGTAAGAGCGATTAGTTTGTCTAAGATCAAGCGCGAGACAACTAATCATTTTTACTACTTGGGCTGCTT